GTAACGGCGGTACATGTATTCCGTTACTCCCCAACACTGCTCACGTGCCAGTTGCTGTGAGGTCTGCATGGTTTCTTCCACTGTTTGCGTTTTAAGTTAGTTTTGTAATGTCACACCCCAGTCAACTTGCAAATCCTGGTTCTTTTCCCAGCGCATTTTGGGGTTATTTTTTTCCCTGATGAGTCAATAGCGTGCTCCCCTCAATCCTGTAAATGCACTTTTTTAAAAACCTTCTTCTGCAACTTTACAAACATATTTAGTGTTATGTAAATGTTACAAAAACTCAGCTGTTCGGTTTTTTCAGTACACGCTCAAGGCTTTGGTAAGTCAGCTGTGCTCACACACACATGCACGCTCAGACACGGCAGTGGAAACAACAACAGAAGCGTCTGTATTTGCTTCTTTTTGTGCTTTCTTCACAGAGCCTCGTTTTTCTTAGCTTCAGTGCTTCTCTGACGCTAAACTACAGTATCTACCATTCCAGTTTTTATTTCTCCGAGGTCATCAATAGGAGGAATGCGTGGTGATGCGGGGTGTTTAAAATGTTTACCTACAAGGGCTGTTCATAACAACCGAGCGACGATAAGATTTTGTGTCATCGACATTATCGTAGATGTACAATTATGCGAACGAGTTTGGATTATTTCACTCTTACTGACCAATAAGCAACTAGAAGGTAAAAAATATATGATGCAAATTTTATACTGGCTGTTTCTGTGTTTTATGGGATTTGGTGGTTTATTATTTCTTTCCTTGTTGTCAGATCCCTGACTTGTGAGTCTAACAACCTTCAATATTACAGTGACTCGGTACAAAGCCAATACTTACAGCCAATCAATACCTTAAATCTACAGACAAATGTAGACAACCACTTTTCTGGGAAACTCCCTCGAAGCAAACCGACAATCTCCAGCCGTCACTTTAAGAAAAATCAACAGTGCAGTGCAGGCGTTTCTGAGTCAGGGACCTGAATTTCTTTTATCGAGCCACTCTGCAGTTGTCATGTGTCCTAACATGTACTGTGCATACCTAGTGCCTAGCAAATATGGTAGTTTCCACATACATATACTATATTCTTTGTGTGTGGCTGTAAAAAATGCGAGCTCCTCAGAATGCAAACGTCACTGTTACATATATCCCACTACAGAGTTAAACCAATAAATTGTATTTGACTACAGTGTGATTCCACTGCCTCATGTTTAGGTGATTTCTTTTAGATTAGCATGTTAGAAAAGCACAAACATGCAAAGAGTCAATAATTTTGCGTTATAATAGAATCAGAGCTTCTTAATACAGTAAAAGCAGATTGTCTCTGCTCGCTGTAGGTCTTGAAGGTATTTTTCATTTATCAGAGCTGTTATTGATTGTTCACATCTAAAACACTGCAATATTTTTTCTGCAAATTTAAACGCCTTTCTCTAGTTTTTCTCTCTCTCTGTAGCTTTTATTTTAAAAACACAACTGGTTAAGATTTCTCCTCAGAAATGTGATGTTTATTAGTCCTTTTTGCGCCACTCAACCTAGTCCTTTCCTTCTGAGCATTTGGGAACTATCAATAATTTACATGAACCTTGGGGTTATTGATTCCTGCTGCACTTCCACCTACCTTGCAGGCTACATGTTGGTCTGGAAAAACTCATGATGAATCCAGGTTGTATGTGGAAGTAGGCATGTACCAAATTACAGGGATCTTAACGTTTTTACCAAGAAATCTGTCCAGAAGATCCTGTAACAAAAACTTCACGTTGAAAGTAAAGTTTTTATTTACAATTCAAATAAAGGTTATTCGGAAAAAATGATCACCTACATATAGGGGTGTTTTAACAGATTTGATATCCATCTTATTCTGCTTTTCTAGCTGATTTAGCAGAAAACCTTCTAGAAAACAGAAAGCGATCATCAAAAATATTTCGCTCAGTCATATAGTGAATATTAGACTTACTTATGCAAGATATCATTCAGCATGAAGGATTTATTCCACACAATGCTTACTCCAACTTGTGCTGAGGTGTGCTCCCTTTTGGTAGTCTCGATTAAAAGGCAGATTCATTAACATCAATAAATGCTACCTGTCTAATATATTGTTTTTCCATCTACAGTGTTTGACTTCCACTGAACTACAAATGTGTTTCTGATACAAATATACATTAGAAGACTGTGTTTAATATAAATGCTCTCGCAGCTCGTGTGGGGATCTCCTATGAGGGACTTAAGCAGTTGGTAAGGAAAGCTTACCCAGCTGTTCTGCATGACCTTTCCCTGCAAGTCTCTGATCTAGATAAACACCTGGGACAGGAATAACAAGTCTGATTATGCAAAGTAATTATTGTAATTAATCATAGACAACAATAATGTTAACAGGTCAATGTCAATTAGAGTTGAAGTCTCAGTTGTGTGCATTCTTGGTTCCACGAGCTAAAGGTTGCAAAGGATCAAGGGAGCGTGTAATGTAAGTAATCACTGGCAAACGTACTTGGACAAGAAAAACATAAAATGATTTCCCCCATCACCACCAAAAAAATTACCCGAGCCTCCAACAACCAAAATGATAGAACATTATATAGTATCATTATTTTATGCTATGGTCCCTAAATCCAAGCTATGGTATACGCTCACTGGCTACTGTATTTGGTAGACTTTGCTGAGGCTGGACCCCTTTTTCTTTCAGAACTGCTTTGATTCTTCATGCACAGGTGTTCACAACATTCCTCAGTGATTTTGGTCCATA